CACCAAAGAGATTTGATCATAGTTTGCGCAGGTCATTGTTTAATATTATTTTTTTGCCTTCTTGCGGGTAGGTGTATGACTGGTAAATCCCAAACTGGTGACAACAAAAATGTTATACAATTTTCAAGTATAGCCATAGACCTGTCAAATAAAGAACCACACCACTTTGTTTTGACACTCAGGTATTTCAAGCATCATTCATCCAATCAGCCAGTACAACTGCGTATAAATGCTCAGAACTGCACAAGCATTTGCCCAGTACATGCACTACAAAAGTACTTAAATCTCAGAGGAGGGTCCACTGTTTACTTTCGATGGATATACAACAAACTCTTTCGTTCACAGGCTTATCAACAGCTCAGTACAAACTCCAGCTTTCGTATTGGAGCAGCACATTCGCCTTATGGGTCGTTCGGATTCTGACGCAGTAAAGCGTTACTCTTTGATTGGGATGCAAATCACAGTTTAAGCATAGTCCCAATACCCAATACTCAATGGAATTTTTTTACAGACAGCAAGGTCAATCGTATCATTTTGTTATTTATTGATGATGTCAAGATTTTAGTTAACATAAATGGGTTGACACTTTATGAAGCTGTGGCAGCATATTTCTTGGGAAATACTGTTAACCTGTTAGCTAAAAAATGCCTGATTACAGGACATTATTAGTGACTCTTAACTAGCTTCATATTCTTAGCACATTTCGGGTGCTAAAAACGTTTCTTAGGTTGGTGTGTACATATATATGTGTATTATTTCATTGCTATGGTTTTGCAGATATTTACAATTGCTTCAGTACCTCTGACTTGTTATACTGGGCTATCACTGGACTGTCCGAGGCAGCCAGCTGATATGTCAAATGATAAAAACTTCAGTATTTTCCTGATGCTATTGTACTCTGTACTGCACTTGCTTTATTGCTTAACAGCAAGAAAGCTTCCCCTGATATGCTACGCACACAAGATTACTTGGTTGGGGGCACTTGAACATAACTATGTATAGTATATATATATCCTGTGCGTAGTTAGGGTGTCTGCATGCTAAAAACGAGAGTATAATTGTATTTATGTTAAACATAAAGTAATTTATACAATCTGTTTAGTAAATGCCTATTTTTAGGTTAATCAATTAATGTATTTGTTGTATTCAATAATTTAAGTTATATGTAAAACAAGTTCTTTTTATTCCGGAAATGTAGAATGTAGCCAGCCCGGGTCGACCGGAAACGTAGTCAGCCCGGCTACGGGTTTGACGACTAGTTTTGGTGTCGGAATTCACGTGTCACTTCACAGAAAAATTGTAAACACAGGAAGATTTCCATGCTGGTCTAACAAAGAAATGATTTCCCTCCTTCTTCCCTGCATGTCCACCGTATTATGACTGTGATATGTATGGCTGGCGTGGCTTTTTTCTATTGACGATCCCAGATCTTTCGTTGCCTTTATACCATCAATATGTATCTATTGGTCATAATTTCATTACTGGCATTTTAATCAAATAACTGCTCCTTTCGACTAGACATGTATTTGTGTTATTATTGGGCAAGAAACAGAGCAGAGTATATCATGTGTGTAGTTAGGTTGTCTGCATGCTAAACACGAGAGTATAATGGACTTGGTCTAACTATAATGATTGAATTGAGTCAATTGTTGTAGCTGAGGGGAAACGGCTTATGTCACGTACACAAACAAAGTAGAATCCCAAACATGAAAGAAATGTTGTAAATGTTTACCGTTCGGAGTTTGGATCAATCCGGATATAATATAAATGATAACCCAGTGTGATCTAAACATTTTTCCTTTGTATATTATAAATGATAACCCAGTGTGATCTAAACCTTTTTCCTTTGTATATTATAAATGATAACCCAGTGTGATATAAACCTTTTTCCTTTGTATAATGTAAATGCTATTCCAGTGTGATCTAAACCTTTTTCCTTTGTATAATGTAAATGATGACCAAGTTTCATCAGAATCCAGACAAATTTTGATCAAGTTATATTGTGTGAAAGCAGTTGACAAATCAGAGTGCAGCTATGCTTATTTACTATAAATTACTTTTTGCTTAATTTCAAACTAACATACTTTATTAACCATGCTTACCAAACAAAACAAAATCATGTTTAAGAAAGTTGTCTTGTGAAAATTGAAAAGCAGATGGACAGACAAACGCTCCTAATACTATAATATACCCTTTCAATTATTTACACTACCTACAAATGTTTTCTGATAATTTTGCAAAGTCCAATTTCTGTAAACTTTTTCTTTCTTTATAATCTCTGAATAAAAACATGCAGAAAACAATTTCGCCAATGGCAAAAGTGCAAACAAATAATATTGAACTGCATGTGTCAGATTACTGAGTATGTGTATAAAGCCAGTGTATAAAGAAGTCTACTCCAAAAACAAACGTGCTTGTGTTGATTACATTAGTGAGGGCCTGCAGTTACTGTTAGTTAGCATTACAAAAACCCTGTCTTGGAGCTTCACGGCCATATTACATCAAGTCCATTGTCAAGAAGGGAAGGCATCATTGTATATAAGGTCATACAGCACAACCGGCAAAACAATAATTTTATGTTTCACAATTCAATGACTAGTACATAATGTACTCTGTCACCCTCATCAAACACAAATGATGAACACTGGTTGTTGCATAATGAAAGTGACAGAGTGCATTATGTACAAATCATTGAAATGTCACACATAAACACTTCACTGGTTGTGCTATTTAAATCTGTAGACAATGTTTATTTTCCAACCTAAAGAAAATTATTTGAAATATTGTAAACAAAGCTAGAGTCCATTCTCCACAGTTTTGCTGGCACCAACTATTTGATAGGTTAAGACAAAACAAGAGGCCCAATGGGCCTGAATCGCTCACCTGGTATTAATCTCACACATAATCTTTAAAGTGGACTAAAATACAGCTACAGGCAGAATATCAATGTTTGACTCACAGGAACCTATTAAAAGATTTAAACATATGACGCCTGTGACCTTGAATGGCGTACAAGGACATAAGGTTGAACAGAGTTTATAGTCGTCCAACCAAGCATGCTTCTGGCAAAAATATCATTACCCTGGACCTTTTGGTTATACAAAACAAGTCATTTAAAGATTTAAACATATATTGACCACTGTGACCTTGAATATGGGCAAAGGTCATTCATTTGAAAAAACTGGTAGTCCTTAATCCCAGCATGTTAATAGCCAAATATCATCATCCTTAGCCTTTTGCTTATTGAGAAGAGGTCGTTTAAAGGTTTTAAACATATTTGACCCCTGTGACCTTTAATATATGTCGAGGTCATTTGTTTTAACAAACTTGGTAGCGCTTTATCCCAGCATGCTACAGGCCAAATATTATTACCCTCAGGCTCTTGGTTTTTGATAAGTAGTTTTAAAGGTTTAAAACATATTTGACCCCTGTGACCTTGAAAATGGGTGAAGGTCATTTGTTTGAACAAACTTGGTAGCCCTTCATCCCAGCATGCTTAAGGTCAAATATCATCACCCTAGGCCTCTTTGTTATTCAGAAGTTATCAAAGATTTCAGCATATTTGACCCATGTGACCTTGGATATGAGCGAAGTTCATTCATTCGAACATATTTGGTAGCCCTTCATCCCAGCATCTAACTGGCAAAAACATCATAACCCTAGGCCTCTTGGTTGTTCAGAATCAGTTGTTTAAAGGTTTTAAACATATTTGACCCCTGCAACCTTGAAAATGGGCAAAGGTCATTTGTTTGAACAAACTTGGTAGCCCTTCATCCAAGCATGATACTGGCCAAATATCACCCTTAGCCTTTTAGTTACTGAGAAGAAGTTGTTGAAAGGTATTTAACATATTTGACCCCTGTGACCTTGAAATTAGATGAAGGTCATTCATTTGAACAAAACTTGGTAGCCCTTCATCCAAGCATGTTACTGGCCAAATATCATCATCCAAGGCCTTTTGGTTATTGAGAAGAAGTTGTTTAAAAGTTTTTTTTACATGTTTGAACCATGTGACCTGGAAAATAGATGAATGTCATCCGTTAGAACAAACTTGGTAGCCGTTCATCCCAGCGTGTAACTGGCCAAATAACATTATTCTATCCCTCTTGGGTATTCAGAAGAAGTTGTTTAAAGGTTTTAAACATATTTGACCCCTGTGCCATTGAAAATGGGTGAAGGTCATTTGTTTGAAAAACCTCGGTAGCCCTTCATTTCAGCATGTTACTGGCCAAATATTATCACCCTAGGCCTTATGGTTATTCAGAAGAAGTTGTTCAAAGATTTTAACATATTTGACCCATGTGACCTTGACAATGGGTGAACGTCTTTTGTTTTAACAAACTTGGTAGCTCTTCATCCCAGCATGTCACTGGAGTATGCCACTGGCCAAATATCATCACCCTAGGCCTTTTGGTTCTTCAGAAGAAGTCTTTCAAAGATTTTTACATATTCGACCCATGTGACCTTGAAAATGGATGAAGGTCATTCATTTGAACAAACTTGGTAGCCCTTGATTTAAGGATGCTACTGGCCAAATATCATCATCCAAGGCTGTTTGGTTATTGAGAAGAATTTGTTTTAAAGGTTTTTAACATATTTGACCCCTTGTGACCTTTGAAATGGGAGAAGGTCATTTGTTTGAACAAACCTGGTAGCCCTTCATCACAGCATGTTACTGGCCAAATATCATCACCCTAGGCCTCTTGGTTCTTCAAAAGAAGTCATTCAAAGATTTGAACATATTTGACCCCTGTGACCTTGAAAATGGATAAAGGTCATTCATTTGAACAAACTTTGGTAGCCCTTGATCCAGGATGCTACTGGCCAAATATCATCATCCTAGGCCTTTTGGTTACTGAAAAGAAGTTGTTTAAGTAAAAAGTTGACGCCGGACAGACGGACGCCGGACCATGGCATAAGCTCACTTGCCCTTTGGGCAGGTGATTTAAAAACACTGGATTTAACATGGTATCGGCTTCTGATAGATGGCACTGTTCTGTTATTAAAAGTCAGATTCCTCCGTATGTAATCAGTTAGAGTAAGTGACTAACATTTTATTGCCAGAGCATGGATAAACACACTTCTATAATTACACTGCAATATCAAATTTCATTACCAAATTAACAAATCTGTTCACATCTCTTGACCTTGAGAGAAAACCCACAAATCTTAAACGGGTATACATTTATCATTTTGGGTCTTAATATTCACAAATTTTAAGTACATAAATGACAATGTTGATTACATCATACTCATACTACCAGACATGTGACTTTAATTGTTGATGGTCAGGACTCTTCAGTATACATTTGCTCAGGAACAGTGTTTACAATCTGATATAAAAGTTTGTAAACCTCATTGAGAACTAGTGTTTACCTGATCTCACAGTTTGTACATCTCCTTGCTCGAGACCAGTGCTTACCTGATCTCACAGTGTGTACACCTCCTTGAGAACCAGTGTTTACTTGACATCACATTTAGTATAATTCCTTGAGAGCCAGTAGTTACCTGACATCACAGTTTGTATACTTCTTTGAGAATCTGTGTTTACCTGACAGCATAGTTCGTACACCTTCTTGAAAATCAGTGTTTACCTGATCTTACAGTTTGTATACTTCCCTGAGAACCAGTGTTCTCCTGATCTTAGTTTGTACACCTCCTTGGGAACCAGTGTTTACATGATCTCAGTGTGTACACTTCATTGAGAACCAGTGTTTACCTGACATCACAGTTTGAACACCTCCTTGAGAACTAATGTTTACATGATCTCGAAGTGCGCTCATCTCCTTGAGAACCAGTGTTTATATGATCTCACAGTTTGTATACTTCCTTGAGAGCCTGTGTTTACCTGACATCACATGTACAGTTTTCATACTTCCTTGAGAACCAGTGTTTACCTGACATCACAGTTTGTACACTTCCGTGAGAACCAGTGCTAACCTGATCTCACAGCTTGTACACTTAAATGTGAACTAGTTTTTACCTGATCTCACAGTGTGTACATCTCCTTGAGAACCAGTGCTTACCTGACCTCACAGTGTGTACACCTCCTTGAGAACTAGTGTTTACCTGATCTCACAGTGTGAACATCTCCTTGAGAACCAGTGCTTATCTAATCTCAGTGTGTACATCTCCTTGAGAACCAGTGTTTACATGCTCTCACAGTTTGTATACTTCCTTGAGAGCCAGTGTTTACCTGACATCACAGTTTGTATACTTCCTTAAGAACCAGTGTTTACCTGACATCACAGTTTGTATACTTCCTTGAAAACCAGTGTTAACCTGATAAAACAGTTTGTACACCTCCTTGACAGCCAGTGTTTACCTTACATCAGAGTTTGTATATTTCCTTGAGAGCCAGTGTTTACCTGACATCACAGTTTGTGTACTTCCTTGAGAACCAGTGTTTGCCTGATCTTAGCTTGTACACTTAAATGAGAACCAGTGTTCACCTGACATCACAGTTTGTACACCTTCTTGAGAACCAGTGCTTACCTGATCTCATGGTGTGTACAATTCAATGTTAAAATCGTCCTGAATATATACATACAATGTACACTAAAAGTAAAGGCATATGGATTGTGTTATGTATCTGCAATCAAACTGTAGAGAGTACTAAAGCCGCCTGGAGAAAATATGTTCCAATGAATCAGCTTTGTAAGTATATGGATGGCGGGAAGGGCATGTACTTTAAGCTGATCTGATGTTGTTGATTCCTTTAAGTCTTCTGACTGCCTTGTATGTGTTTACAAATTAACGATGACAGTAGCTTATATTTTCCATCCTGAAATGTAAAATAATAAATGTTCTTATAGAATTGTAAACGTTAACCTTATTAATCTTGGAGTAGAATATTTGAATTTAAACATTTGAATTAATATCACAAATTAACTAATTAATATTTAAATTGGATGCGATGAATTTAAATTTCAATTAAATAGAAATAATGTTGACCAAAAGGTTCGTCTCAGATGACACGTTTGGCTCTTGTGACCTTGAATGTAAGGTACCGAGTAAGTGTATTTGTTTAAATATGATATCATTTTAACCAAGCCTGTAACATGCTAATAATCATTAATCAATACTTAATGATTACATCTACATAGTAATGACCACCTTCATCTATTTGAAGATCATAGCATGTGATAGTGGTTGCTAGGCTAAGAGAAGAAAAGATAAAAGATAGTGAAAGGGAATATTTATAAAGTATTGGAGGCAGGTTATTCCAGTCTACTATGGTACGAGGGAAAAAGGATTGTTGTCGTACATGAGAGTGTTTGATATGAGTTCCGGTGTGCGTGTCTTGTGTGGCGGGATGGAGTTATGAGTTGGTCTTTAGTTATGTTGACTTTGTATAGTTTTGTGTAGTGTTGTCAGTTGTATGACTCTCCTTCTGTCTTCAAGTGATTGCCAGTTAAGGTGTTGAAGCATGTCACCAACACTGGAGGTGTTTCTAAATTTGTTGGTGACTAATCTTGCTGCTCTACGCTGCACCATTTCTATTTTGCTTATGTCTGTTTTAGTATAAGGGTCCCAAACTGAGCAGGCATATTCTAGGGTTGGTCTGACAAGCGTTTTATATGCCTGCTCCTTGACAGATGATGTGGAGTTTATCTTTAGATTTCGTCTGAGAAAGCCTAAGGTGGAGTTGGCTTTCCCACAGATGTTGTTTATGTGACATTCCCACTTCAGATTTGACTGTATAGCGACACCTAAATATTTTGCTTTGTCTACATGTTATAATTCCTTTCCGTGCAGCATGTATTTGTGATGTTGTGGTTGTTTGTTGTTGGTGATGGAAAGGACGTTACATTTGTCAGGATGGAAGGACATTTCCCATGCTATCTCCCATAGAGCTAATTTGTCTAAATCTTGTTGCAATAGCTGGGCATCAGATGGTGATTTGATAGTAAGATAGACAATGGTGTCATCTGCAAAAAGACGTACAGTGGAATGGAGGCCAACAGGAATGTCATTTATATAGAATAGAAAGAGGGATGGACCAATAACCGAGCCTTGAGGGCCACCTGACTTGACATCGACAATGCTAGATTTTTCCCCTTCAACGATGACAGCCTGCTTCCTATTATCCAGGAAGTTTTCTATCCAGGTGTTAACCTTCTCATTTACACCATAATGATGAAGCTTATGACAAAGAAGCGAATGACTAACCTTGTCAAAGGCTTTGGAAAAATCCACAATTAAGACGTCAGTTTGTTTTCCCTTGTCAATGTTGGAGCTGACATCATCAACCAATTCAATGAGCTGACTCTCACATAATACTGACCTTCGAAAACCGTGCTGGAGTGGGTAAAGGATGGTATGTTTGTCAGCGTGGTTCATGATGTTACTGACCACTATGTGTTCTAGAAGTTTGCTACAAATACATGTGAGAGAGATTGGCCTGTGATTTTCTGGATTTAATGTAAAGCCCTTTTTATAGACAGGAGAGACATGCGCTAACTTCCAATCAGAGGGAACTGTGCCAGAATGAAGAGATTCGTTAAAGATGATAGAGAGGACAGGGGCAATTTCAGAAGAGAGTTCTTTCAAGATCTTGGGCTTTAACTCGTCAGGTCCAGCTGCTTTACAAGGATTTCTATTTTGCAGTAATTTTTGTACGCCATTTGGAGTGATATCAAATTCTGGCATGACGGGGTACTGGGTGGAAGATGGGATATTACATCTTTTAAAGAATTCATCATAGGATAATTTACCACCTGGGCTAAAAACAGACTGGAATTGAGTGTTAAGGGTCTCAGCCTTACCTACAGGGTCAGTAACAAGTTTACCATGTGATTGTAGAGATGATATACCGTTATAGTCGGTCTTCTTATGCTTTATGCATGACCAGAATCTTTTGGAGGCACTACAATTACTGTCATTTTCTTGTGGGGTAAGAATGCCTTCAAAATATTGCCAGTAGGACCTTCTGAGTTTCTTTTGACTGTCTTGCCTTATAGCCGTGTATTTAGTTCTCATGTTCAGGTCACCAGACTTTTTAACCTTTTTTTAGAGTCGATCTTTTTTTCTGAGAAGCTTTTTAATGACAGGAGTAACCCAAGGTAGACTAGGTTTGGGTTTGATGGTTTTATGAGGTATGTTGTCCTTTATGAGATCACAGAGGGTGGCTTTGAAGAGTTTCCATGTATGATTTACATCCCTATTTGTAGATTCAACAATGCTGGTGTGGAGGGTAGACAGACCATTTCTGATTGTATCCCACTTTGCATGTTTGTAGGAATGTTTCGTGGAATAGTTTTAGCCTTTTGTAGACTTCAATTAAGCTCAACAAAGACACAGTCGTGGTCTAATATACCAGGCATGATCTCAGATCTAATAACCTGGCTTGGTATGTTTGTAATTACCAGGTCGAGGGTGTTATCTTTCCTTGTAGCTTAATTGTTCTACGATCTGTGTAAGACCCATATCGTCCAATAAGTTACCAAAATCAAAGTGTAATTTGGAATGATTTGTTTTGGGTTTTAGGATTTTGTTTTTTCCAGTCCCAGCCTGGATAGTTAAAGTCCCCACCTAGTAAGATTTGGGCATTGTTTATGACCTTCCTGAGTGATGTTTCTAGACCCTTTAGACTATTCTCATCTGATGTTTTGGGATTATAAAAGGAAGCTAGGTATAGTGTTTTCATTCCAAAAATTTGTACTTTAGCCCATACTAATTCAGTTGTGTCCTCTTTACTGGTGACTTCATCGCTGACAAAGTCAGATGTTATTGCGACGAGTACCCCACCCCCTTTCTTATCCACATTTGACATTCGATCTTTCCGAAACACTTTAAAGTTATCTGGTATAAAATCTGAGTCGTTTATTGATGGATCAAGCCATGTTTCTGTTTCGAATATTACATCAGGCTTGGTACTTTCGAGTAGGTTTAGGAAGAGATGCTGCTTATTTTTCACTGACTGGAACTTTACATTTAGTATTCGCAGGGGCTTTAGATTTTTTGGTTTGGTCATGTTGTTTCACCGTCGTACCGGAGTCGAGGCCTGGAGGGGTCTATTTGGCATAGCATTATGTTGGGGAAAAGTTGATTACAAGTTAACAATAGACATATCACCTGTACCATGGCATAAATTCATGTAATCAAACAATGAAAGAGATCATGTTGCCTTTTTTGCCATGACAAACGAAAAATTCTTAAGTGATATACTCTCACAAACATCTGTTTAGTGATCTACAGTGACAGACATCTGTTTAGTAATCTACTATGACAGACATCTGTTTGGTAATCTACTATGACAGACATCTGTTTGGTAATCTACTATGACAGACATCTGTTTGGTAATCTACTATGACAGACATCTGTTTAGTGATCTACAGTGACAAACATCTGTTTAGTAATCTACTGTGAACGACAATTGTTTAGTGATCTACTGTGGCAGACACTTGTTTAGTGATATAAGGTGACAAACATTTGTTTAGTATTCTACTTTGACAGACATCTGTTTAAGAATCTTCTGTTACAAACATGTGTTTAGTGACATAAGGTGACAAACATTTGTTTAGTATTCTACTGCGACAGACATCTGTTTAAGAATCTTCTGTTACAAACATGTGTTTAGTGATATACGGTGACAAACATTTGTTTAGTATTCTACTGTGACAGACATCTGTTTAAGAATCTACTGTTACAAACATGTGTTTAGTGATATAAGGTGACATCCATCTGTTCTGTTATCTATTGTGACATACCCTTTAGTGATCTACTGTAACAGACATCTGTTTAGTGATCTACTGTGACAGACATCTGTTTAGTGATTTAAGGTGACAAACATCTATTTAGTGATCTACTGTGACAGACATCATTTTAGTGATCTAATGTGTTAAACAACTGTTTAGTGATCTACTTTAACCAACATCTGTTTAGTGATCTGTTTTATACAAAAATCGCATACTTATCAATATCAGCATTCAGGGATTTGCCTTACCTCAATATTCAGTACAGAGGTGGCATCCAGCAGTTTGAAGAATTTTCCCTGGTCAAATGGTGTATACATGTATCGCATTCCCTTGTACATTCCATCTGTCTCACCCACTAAAACACAGAAATCACACAAACAACTATGTAAAAATGTAAAAATATTCATTTCAAAACTAGAAAACGTCTGTATTAAAGACATGAATGCCCTCTTGGTGCTGATCTTTAAATAGCAGCAGTGACCTTGGTATTCACCATGGAACCCTGAAATACAAACCTATCTGAGGTTTTCTCATAGCTTAACTTTGTATATTTGATAAAATTCTGTTAAGAAAGTAGAATACAGTGACAGGCCAACAAGGGCATCACCATAAACCAGACAATAACACCATAGTATATTAACAACCCTCTTTCACATATTCATACACAGTGTATTACCTGATGTCAAATTTGGAAAAAAAAATACTCCTTTGTGTTTGGAGATAAACTCCAGAAACGAAACAGTGAACAGTCACCAGTTACAATGACATCATGATTCTGACTTCTTTGATGCAGGTCCTAATGAAGTGCGAGCATAGTCAGGACAATAGGAACAAGATGGGACAGACCTGGCTAATACTGTATACTGCCCCTCTCAAAAATCAGTAATGATTTCTTCATTTACCGAGTTGTACACCTCTTCTGGATATAGTTCACAGAGTCATGCTTCTTAATGTACCGCACACTCTGCCAGCAAAGACATTCTTCCATACCAAATCTGGTTACTTCAAGTGATTAACATTGTAATACAGAAGAAACATGCATGCCCAAAAGTTAAAAACATTTTTTTAAAGGTTGAGGTCAAAGGTCAAACAATAGGTCATTGTGGCCTGTACTTGAATACTTGAATACAGAACCTTGATACTCCAAGTGAAAAAGAAAACTTTTGAATGGACAAACTGTAAACCTATCACCCCCACCCCCTCCAGGGATGGAGGACTAAATCCTATCTATTGATGTTACAATAGTGTTGTCACTTTATTTGGGTAATTCAGTGCCACAAAATTTTAAACTGATTATTTATTTGATCATCAATTGGTTTACTAATTCTGATTACAGCAGAGCATCATTGATTAGGATTTTAAACCAATTTCCCATCAACATTAAAATGATGGTAAAGTGTCATATTGAAGGTCAATCTTCAGATTGTTCTTTCTGTACCAAACTGTTTGATTAATTTTTAGTCATGTCCACTGTTTTTAAATATGTTTAAATGTGATTTAAATGTTTTTTGGTTTAAATTAGTATATGTTCTGGTATTATCAGCTTTATGTTTGTACAGTTGATCTTAATTTTGCTCTTTATCAGAGGACTTGGTAAGTAGGGGTTACCCAATCACCTGTCCTCTGAGTATATGTGCTAGGTGTATAGGTAGTGGCTACCCAATCACCTGTCCTTTGAGTATATGTGCTAGGTGTATAGGTAGGGGTTACCCAATCACCAGTCCTCTGAGTATATGTGCTAGATGTATAGGTAGGGGCTACCCAATCACCTGTCCTCTGAGTATATGTGCTAGATGTGTTGGTAGGGGTTACCTAATCACCCGTCTTCTGAGTATATGTGCTAGATGTATAGGTAGGGGCTACCCAATCACCTGTCCTCTGAGTATATGTCCTAGATGTATAGGTAGGGGTTACCCAATCACCTGTCCTCTGAGTATATGCGCTAGATGTGTTGGTAGGGGTTACCTAATCACCCGTCTTCTGAGTATATGTGCTAGGTGTACAGGTAGAGGCTACTCAATCACCCGTCTTCTGAGGATATGTGCTAGGTGTATAGGTAGGGGTTACCCAATCACCAGTCCTCTGAGTATGTGTGCTAGATGTATAGGTAGGGGCTACCTAATCACCTGTCCTCTGAGTATATGTGCTAGCTGTATAGGTAGGGGTTACCCAATCACCTGTCCTCTGAGTATATGCGCTAGATGTGTTGGTAGGGGTTACCTAATCACCCGTCTTCTGAGTATATGTGCTAGGTGTATGGGTAGGGGTTACCCAATCACCCGTCTTCTGGGTATATGTGCTAGGTGTATAGGTAGGGGTTACCAAATCACCCGTCTTCTGGGTATATGTGCTAGGTGTATAGGTAGGGGTTACCCAATCACCTGTCCTCTGAGTATATGCGCTAGATGTGTTGGTAGGGGTTACCTAATCACCCGTCTTCTGAGTATATGTGCTAGGTGTATGGGTAGGGGTTACCTAAGCACCTGTCCTCTGAGTATATGTGCTAGGTGTACAGGTAGAGGCTACTCAATTACCCGTCTTCTGAGTATATGTGCTAGGGGTATAGGTAGGGGTTACCCAATCACCCGTCTTCTGGGTATATGTGCTAGGTGTATAGGTAGGGGTTACCCAATCACCGGTCCTCTGAGTATATGTGCTAGATGTATAGGTAGGGGCTACCTAATCACCTGTCCTCTGAGTATATGTGCTAGGTGTATAGGTAGTGGCTACCCAATCCCCTGTCCTTTGAGTATATGTGCTAGGTGTATAGGTAGGGGTTACCCAATCACCCGTCTTCTGGGTATATGTGCTAGGTGTATAGGTAGGGGTTACCTTATCACCCGTTCTCTGAGTATATTTGCTGGAAATGCACTGTCCATTTTGTTTTATACTACATGCTTTGCTTTAATTTTTTCTATTTTGTAAAAAGTTTTGTAATTTCTGTGGCCAAGAGGACCTAGTAGGTAGGGGATCCCCCATCACCTGTCTCCTTTCTGAGCTTTTAATTTTTACTTTATTTACATAAGAGAACCATGACTTTTAGTTAAATGTATTTTATATGTTTTTGAGTTAGATTAGTATTTATATCAATGTAACTTAACATAATTGCCACTTAATCACATTCCATCATCTGAATCTAATATAACCTCATAGTGTAGATGACTTTTAATGGATATCTGATTATAGTGAAGTGTCAGGTTTTATATCATGGAGTTTTATACTTTAACTCTTATAATCATGTTTCACGTTACCCGATATTTATATTCGACAAAATGGGTTCTGTACCAATATCCCCATAATTTATACTAAATGAAGTCATGCGACTTATTTCTAAAAAATAATTGAGTTCAAAAGTTAACACAGTATGGGTGTCTTATTACCTAATTAGGTCACTATGACCTTCTTTTGGAAATTTGACCTACATTATTAATAAAGTTTAGAAATAAACATTTAACTGTTGTTTTAGCAGATTTGACCTATATTAACAAGACACCCAGAGGGCCTGTATCGCTCAACTGTTTCTTTTGATACATGGAACTGACATAATTTGGTAACTAGAACACAAGACATTCTAACATCTCTTAAACGATTCTTAAGATATTGTTGTTTGAAATTTGAAATTTTAATTTTAAAGCTTTTAACCCACGTTGACCTTTGACTCTGGCTAGCTCTTAAAGTTGACCTTTGACCTCATAACTGTAATAAAGAAAAATATTTGCACTGCTGGTCACATAACATACTCAAGTATCATGACTCTAGTCCAAATGGTTCTTAGGATATTGTTGTTTGAAGTTTTTAACATATTTGACCCATGTGACCTTAACAGTAGGTCAAGGTTGAGGAGACGTTATAGCACTCCATCCTAGGTACCTACTAGTCAAATACCATGACCCTGAGCCTTATGGAACTGGAGAAGAAGATTGTTTAAGCTTTTAACCCATGTTGACCTTTGATCATCGACTAGCACTTAAAGTTTACTTTGACCTCATTACGGTAATTAAGAAAAAGATTCACACATCTGGTCTACACAACATATAGTATTATGACTCTAGTCCAAATGGTTCTTAGAATGTTGTTGTTTGAAGTGTTTAACATATTTGACCCCTTTGACCTTAAAACTAGGTTTAGGCCGTTTGAATTAGGAAACTGTATAGCACTCTATTCTAGGTACCTACATGCCAAATAACATGATCCTGAGCCTCATGGAACTGGAGAAGAAGATTGTTAAAGCTTTTAACCCATGTTGACCTTTGACCATCGACTAGCACTTAAAGTTTACATTGACCTCATTACTGTAATTAAGAAAAAGATTCACACATCTGGTCTACACAACATATAGTATTATGACTCTAGTCCAAATGGTTCTTAGAATGTTGTTGTTTGAAGTGTTTAACATATTTGACCCCTTTGACCCTAAAACTAGGTTTAGGCCGTTTGAATTAGGAAACTGTATAGCACTCTATTCTAGGTACCTACATGCCAAATAACATGATCCTGAGCCTCATGGAACTTGAGAAGAAGATTGTTAAAGCTATAAACCCATGTTGACCTTAGACATCCGATAAGCATTCAAAGTTGACTTTTGACCTCATTACTGTAATAAAGAAAACGATTCACACATCTAGTCTCCATACCATACCCAAGTATCATGAATCTAGTCCAAATGGTTCTCAGGATATTGTTGTTTGTTTGAAATTTTAATTTTAAAGCTTTTAACCCACGTTGACCTTGACTCTGGATAGCACTTGAAGTTGCCAATTGACCTCATTATTGTAACAAAAAAAAAGATTCACACAGCTGGTCTACATAATATACCCGAGTATCATGACTCTAGTCTAAATTGTTCTTAAGATATTGTTATTTGAAGTTTTTACCATATTTAGCCCTTGGACCTTAAAAGTTGGTTAAGGTGATTTTAATGAAGAAATGTTATAGCTTTCCATTTAAAGGTGATAAAAACCCAATTTCATTTTCACATATTTTTCATTTTTTGGGGGCATTATTCATTAAATATCCCTTCCGTAAAATGAAAAATATTTTGAAAACACAAAAGTTGCGAAAATCAGCAAATTTTGTAACCGTTATTGAAAATCTCAAATACAAGTTAGCATTAGTTATCGTTCGTTAAACCGGAAGAGCTGTGACGTCATTTGCGACGACCGTCTGTCACAACAACTACTGAACTAGTTGGTACCAGGACTATGGATTCCGTGGATTTTAGTGACAACGAGGATATTCCAGAAGTTTCCTTAACACTGGACATTCAGCCATACCTGTATGAGCCAGACTGCACCGATTTAGAGGTTATAAGTGAATCTGAATCGTCTGAGTTGGATGTTAGTGACGACGAACAGG